TTATGATTTTTGTCTGGCTTCTTGAGTGGCTTTTGGTGAGCACTGATCTTCTGAACCTTTGTCTAGGGATCAAGGTTTTAAAGCATGTGGTAACGCAGCAGAACTGTTGGGGTTCAGAATGACCCTGAGAGGCAACCCACCGTTGAAGAAAGGATCCATTCCCGGGGGCAGGGGGGCTGACTCTCAGCCCCAGCCTTGTGCTTAGGTCAGCCGAGTATCCTTGGGGAAGTCACCTGCCCTCTCAGGATCCTCTAATCCATCCCAGGCAGCCAGGTAGGATGTGAGCCACTTGCACCAGGCAGCCGCCTTCTGGGATAATGTCCCCCATCTTGCAGGAGACAGATTTGGCAGCACCCCCTTATGTGGTCCTGGCCTCTACCCCAACATGCACGCCCATCAAAACTGTGCAATTGAATTTTCCTCTGCATGATGGAGCCAATCAGCAATGGTGACAGTGTCCCAGCTGAGAGACACGTGGACACTCTGGACTCACGGTCAGAAGCACAGCAGCCTGAAAGGGCTGGACACTCACCCATGGGAGTGTGTACACCTTGAGGGCTGAGGCCTTAACCTCCATGTCCCAGCGCTAGAACAGTGTTTGGCACTGGGAGGTGCTTCCTGCGTCTTCGCTGAATGAAGAAACAGCTCTAGGCTGAAGGAGGAAAAATTCAGTACTAGGCCAAATATGGGACTATAGGGTTTGAGGCAGATGTACCCCTTGTTCACTGAGGGGGGCTATTGAGGAGAGGAGGAGGGCGGCATTTGAGCTGGTCTTTGAAAGCAGGTGGTGGCAGGCTGTGTGCAGTTGGAGGAAGGGGGACTTTGTGCAGAGGACATAGCAGAAGCAACAGTGTGGAGATGGAGAGGTCCCAGGCATTCTTGGGGAGTAGAGAGTAGGGAGAGCTGGCTGGAGTCAGGGCGTGCTGTTACCTGCGTTGCCCAGCCTTCCCAAGCTGGGGGTTCCAATTTCCCAGGAACAGGCCACAGCCCTGACTCCGTTCTTGCTGAGTGGAGCGAGGGTGGCTGGAGATGTGTGTGCATGCGTGTGTGTGTGTGTGTGTGTGTGTGTTTGTGAGAGCGCGTGTGAGCGACGGGGGAGCTGGGGGCACATTGCCATTCAGTGTCCAAACGTGACAAATGTGCAGAAGCGTCCAGGGAGCTGTGGACATGAGCGGCTGGCCGCGGAGATGCTCACCCTGTGATTTGTTGCTTTGATTCCTCAGGCCGTGACTTGGCGAGCACGACCCTCCCCGGGTACCCTCCACACGTTCCCCCCGCTGGACAGGGCAGCTACTCAGCGCCGACGCTGACAGGGATGGTGCCTGGTGAGTTTGCACTGTCGGCGTCTCCACAGCAGGCAGCGGACGGGGTTTCGGTGGGGGGGCATCCCCCCAAACACCCTGGGTGACCTCTACGCTTCTGAGAAGTGGACCTGAATAAATCAGGCAGAGGTCTGCGCTCTCTGCAGCTGGGCCTGCAGTGGGCCCTGGACCAGCCAGCAGCAGCACCAGGGAGGACACCGGGGGTGGGGGGAGGGTATTTGACTGTCACTCAAACAGCCCCTCGTTGGCCACATACAGAGTCTGAACACAGAGGGTGCAGGGGCTGGCTGCAGGTCACCCAGCCAGTGCGGAGCGAGCCTTCTCCCCAAGCTTCCCTCCCAAGCCCCACCCTCTCTCTCCCACACAATCATGTGCGTGAACAAGCAGAAGGCTCTGCAGTGCTCGCGGGCCTTACTCCTTGGGGTGGAGGATAATGTGTTCAGTACAGACGGGATTGTGGATGGTGGGTTTGTCACTTGATTCTAAGCTGCACACCCTGTGGCCATTGGAACCTGATCCCCCCAGGCTGGTGACGTGCGTCCATTTTAAGACATTGGAGGGGGGCTGCCATGTCTCCTTACATGTTGGGTGGTGTGGGGACAAGTGGTGCTGGCTGGGTCGGTGGTGTTTAAACGGGCATTAGCATAGCAGAAATACCCAAAGTATTCTTTCTTGAAAGATGTTTTTAAAAATCAGGGGGAAAATCAGGCCTCCATTGGATGTTGTTACACATCTTTTATGAGTTAGCATTGTCTCCTTTTAAAAATTATTTCTAAAAGTTTTTATTTATTTAATTTTTAATAGACAAATAGTTCAGTGTATCTATGGGGTACAGTGTGGTGTTTGACAGTGTATACATTGTGGAATGATCAAATCAAGCTAATTAACATACCTGTCACCTCAAATATTTATCATTTCTTTGTAGTGAGAACCATTAAAAACCTCTCTTTTAGGGGTTGGAAATATGCAATGCATTATTATTGACTATAGTCACCATGCTGTCTCTTAGGTAGACTCATTTACAGGGGACCACACAGCTTGTTTCAGTGCCTGGGGCTCTAAGGGCCTTATCTCCTCCTAACACACACTCTTGACTGTCTCTGGGCACTTAAAAAAGCCAGAATAGGCCGGGCACAGTGGCTCACGCCTGTAATCCAGCACCACGGGAGGCGGAGGCGGGCAGATCACTTGAGGCCAGGAGTTCGAGACCAGCCTGGCCAACATGGCAAAGCCTTGTCTCTACTAAACAAACAAAATACAAAAATTAGCCAGGTGTGGTGGCATGCGCCTGTAATCCCAGCTACTTGGGAGGCTAAGGCAAGAGAATTGCTTGAACCCAGGAAGCAGAGGTTACAGTGAGCTGAGATCATGTCACTGCGCTCCAACCTGGGTGACAGAGCGATACCCTGTCTCAAAATAAATAAATAAATAAATAAAATGTAATAAATAAATAAATAAGGGAGCCACGTCTTAGAGGGCCCCACTCTAGCCCTGCTAAAGCTGTGACCCCTCTCCCATGCACTGGGGAGAGACTGCAGGGCCAAACGGACACGCCCACACCCCTCTTCCTAGCTCACGCTGGAGCCTCGCCCAAATAGGCCCAAGCCTCTTCCCCTGGGCCATCCTCCTAAAGCCAACCCATGTCACTGGTGTGTGCATCCCTGGGCCCAAGGCCTGGCTCTCTGTCGAGAGTGTGGACGGAGCTTGGATGTGAGGGCTGGGTGTCCACTCATGCGTGTGCAAGGCCCACGTGGTGATGAGGATCCTGGGGTGGGGAGCTCAGCAGGATGGATCTTAGCCAGGCCGGCTCCCCCTACAGCCATGTCCTGGCACAGAACACTAAGGAGGTCCAGAATTCTACATTTGATCCTGGCCTTCCAGGTTGTTTCGAAGATGTATTTAACAAGGTAGGAGGATGGAGCATATTTCATTTAACGGTTTGCTAGCTTGATTGATGACTTTTAAATATGAGACACATGGGAAACGGCCTCCGTGTGTACTCTTGTCCTGGGCCTTGCCAATGCCAGGGAGGCCTGCCAGGTTCCCGCCTGCAAAACTTTGGTCTGCTGCAAGCATGGACCCGTGGCAGATCACAGAGGTGGCGGGACACACACCACCCTTCCCCTTGCCCTGCCCCACCGACTCCTCATTTTCCAACCTTTAGCAAGTCCAGGCAGCCTTGGGAGATGAATCCCAAGCCGTGTCCATGAATGGCCCGTCGTGCTTCTGTAGTGCCTTATATAACACGGACTTCCCCTGAGTGCTATGACGCAACAGTCCTGCAAGGGGGGCAGGGTTAGGAGAGTAATCCCTGTTTTCCACAAGGGCCAGAGAAGCCCCAGAGAACCAGGGAATTTCCGGGGGCTGTGCAGCTTGCAGGTGGAGGACTCAAACCCCAGTCTTCGGCCCCTTCTACCTCCCTCCCAGCACTCCCCACACCCGGGGAGGCACTTCTTCCTCTGCCCTGGGCTGCCTGGGTGTGCCCTCTGAATCTGTCAACTCCAGCTTCTCTGTGATGACAGAGGGGCAGGGACAGCCCTGGAACCTGTTCTGAAAGCATGTCAGTGGTGAAGCTGAGGCCACCCAGCCGGTCCTCTCAGCTCCCCACTGGAAACCCCAAAGAGGCTGAGTTCAGAGAAGCAGCTGAACTTTGCCAAGTTTATCCAAACACAGCCTGCCCTCTGGCCCCCAGGATTCCTCCAGCCCTAACTACCAGGCTCAAGACACAAATGGCTGCAGGCCTGGCAGAGCCTCCAGTGGGAATGGATGGAGACTCCTTGCCCATTAACAGGGCAGCAGGAGTCACAGGCCTGAGCAGGGGCACAGCTTCACCAAGCCTGGCAGCAGCTGGACAGGGGTGGCCTCAGGGCCCCATGGGACTCTGTCCTTGGGCACAGAGGGAGGTGCACAAGTGTGGAGGGAGGAAAACAAGCATTTTGGCAGAGGAGCCTACTGCCTGGGAGCTCATGACTTCTTCCTTCTCTTTCCCTCCATTCTTCCCTTCTGCATCTCTCTGTCTCCTCTTCCCCTGTCTTTTCCTCTTTCTCCTCTTGCCCCGGCCTCCTTGCTGTCTCTTTTCATGCATCCCCCAGCATTTATTCAGTGCCAGGCCTGGCATCAGGGCTGGGATTGCAAGCTCAGCCGCACAGCCCTTAGTTCCTGTTTCTCCATGGACAAACAGGGTCAGGTCTTTGGGACTCTTGTTTCCAACAAAATTTCCAGATCTGTTTCTTGGGTGGCCTGTGGACATTGTTTTTGCAGACACTACCCCCGGCACTGTCCCACAGAACAGAGAGGGTCCACCTTTTGGCAGAGCAGGAGCCCTGGGCTGCCTGTCAGGCCTCACCGTGGTTGGCCTCAACTTGCCTTTCTGGCCTCCTCTCCCAGCCTCCCTGACCCTGACCGCTCTCTGGCGTCCAGCACACCTTGGACTGTCACCCGTCAGTTCCTTCATCATTCTTGGACAGCTTCCCACCTTGACCTGTCAGAATCCAGCTTCACCCTTCAGGGCTGAGTGCAGACCTCCCCGGTTCAGAAAAGCTTTCCTGGATGGCCTCCTCTAGGGGAAGACGCCTGTGCCTGGCTCTGCCTCATCACATGACCCAGCGTGTTCAAGGCACGGTCCCCTACGCCACGTCCACCATTCTCACTTGGACCTGATTAATCTCTGCACCCTTCACGGCCCCTAACACATGTCAAGTTATCTTTGTGAATGTTGGCTAAGGGAGGGAGGCCAGGGAGATTATATGGACCTGTGTGTTAGTTTCCTGTGGCTACTGTAACAAATCTCCCCCAAACCTGGTGGCTTAAAACCACGGAACTGTGTTCTCTTACAGTTCTGGAGCACAGGAGTCTGAAGTCAGTATCACTGGGCCAAAGGTGTTGGCAGGGCTGTGCTCCCTCTGGAGGCCCTGGGGAAAGATCTGTTTCCTTCCCCCTCCAGGTTTTGTGGTTCCTGGCATTCTCTGGCTGCAGCTGCAGTGCTCCGTGGCAGGTGCTTTCGGTGTTTCCCTGCTTCGTCTTCACGTTGCCTTCTACTCTGTGTGTCGAATCTGCCTCTTCTCTCTTATAAGGATACGTATGCATTTTGGTCCTTCCTGGAGGATCCGGGATGATCTCCCCATCGCAAGATCCTTAATCAATCACATCTGCAAAGACGCCTTTTTCCCTTTCCCCAGGAGTCACATTCACAGGTTACATATAAGGAGCCTCCCTTTATCAGGCTCCAGGGAGTAGGACGAAGATATGTAGGACGTGGATATACCACAACCCGCTTGAGACCTTCAGCTTAGTGTTTGTTCAGATTCTGATTCATGACCTCTTGGGCTTCTGAATCCAGAAGACATTCATTGAATTGTGATGGTGCTAAAGGCGATGATGCCCTTTCATTGACCCCGAGGGCCTGTTGGCATGTTTGGAGAAACAAGTGGAACAAGGCTCCGGGACATCTGTCTCTCTTGCTTTTGTCTCTCTGAGGCTGCTCGTGCAATGTTGTTTTTGCTCACGAGGTCTGTTTCTCCCTGTTGGCCTACTGGTGGGTGGTCTGCGTGCAATTGGCAGGGAAACCCAATCTTTGGAGGTGTTTTTTCGGCTGTAGGGCTTTAAAAAAATTTAGCCTGGCACTTACTTTCATTTTTTTCGTTTTCTTTTCTTTCTTTTTTTTTATCGAGGCGAGTCTCCGTTCTGGCGTCTCCAAAGCTTGAGAGCGCACTGGCATGATCCTTGGCTCGACTGCACTTCTTGGGTCAGGTGACTCTTGGCCTCACTTGACTTCTGTGCTCAGGGGGTCCTACTCACCTCAGCCTGCTGAGAAGTGGGACTTGGTGCTGGCCACCAGCGCCCTCTAATTTTTTGTATTTTTTGTAGAGACAGGTTTCGCCTTGTGGCAGGCTAAAGGCTCCAATCGGGTTCACGATTCCTCCGGCCTCGTCCCAAGTGTTGGGATTACAGGATGGAGCATGACCAGCACCACTTCATTTCTAAGTGAGACTTTTATTGTAATG